AGGAGGAGGAGGAGGAGGAGGAGATTGGATTTATACCCCGCCCTTCACTCGGAGTCTCAGAGCGGCTTACAAACTCCTTTCCCTCCCCCTCCCCACAACAGACACCCTGTGAGGTAGGTAGGGCTGAGAGAGCTCTTTCCAGAAACGGCTCTTTCTCAAGAGCAGCTCTTATCAGAACTATGGCTTGCCCAAGGTCATCCAGCAGGTGCAAGTGGAGGAGTGGGGAATCAAACCCGGTTCTCCCAGATTAGAGTCCGTGCGCTTAACCACGACACCAAACGGGCAGGGTACACAGAGCAAGAAGGGAGAAGCAGGGCCAGCAGGATATCCCCTCCCCTGTCGGTCCTCACATCTCCCCAACCTTTTATCTCTGTTCTGGTCAGAATTGCCAGCACCTCCCGTCTTCATCGCTGGTTCTGCATTTCACCAATGACAAGAACGTTCCACACTAATGAACCCATGAAGCTGCCTTATATGGAAACCGATCCTTGGTCCATCACGGCCAGGACTGTCTACTCAGACTGGTGCAGCTGCTCTCCAGGGTCTCAGTCAGAGAGGTCTTTCCCATCGGCTGCCGCCAGACGTTTTAACTGGAGATGTCGGGATTGAACCTGGGACCTTCCGCATGCCGAGCAGATGCTCTACCACTGAGCCACAGCCCCCCTCCCTAACTCTGCTTTTTCCTCTGCGACTAATCTTTCCAGGGAAATAACTCCAGCGTAGCTGCCGTGTTAGTCTGTTGCAACAAGAGTTTTGTGCATCTGAGAAATCAGGCTCTTGTCCACAAAGAAGAAGAAGAGATTGGATTTATACCCCACCCTTCACTACCCAAGGGAGTCTCAGAGCGGCTTACAAACTCCTTTCCCTTCCCCTCCCCACAACAGACACCCTGTGAGGTAGGTGGGGCTGAGAGAGCTCTTGACAGAAACTGCTCCTTTTCAAGGACAGCTCTTATCAGAGCTACGGCTTGCCCAAGGTCATCCAGCCAGGTGCAAGTGGAGGAGTGGGGAATCAAACCTGGTTCTCCCAGATTAGAGTTCGCGCACTTAACCACTACACCAAATCAAAAAGTTTAAGCTACATTTAAAAAATTGTCGTATTCGCTAAGGTTCCAGAAAGGACCCTGTTGCTTAAGCCACCTACTAAAAATACTGTAAAGTTCCCTTGGTAATTTCTTCCCAGTCTTCTCTTCTGCCACTTCTACTGAGCTGTGTCCTGCTGCTGCTTTATAAAAGAGCCACCAGCAGTGCATAAAATCCGTATTACAATGTCTGCATTTCTAGCAAAGACATTAACATTGTTTCTCCCCTCTTTGGGGGGAATTGCATGTGTTGTTTGCAAGCCGCACACACACACACCCCGATACCACTGTTCGGGCTAACCCGAACAAGGAAAGATGAAAAGGAACTCACGTAGAGGATTCCAGCTTTAACCAGACATAATGTGCTTGACAAAAGCTGAGGACAGAAAGAGAGGGTTCTTTTTTAATGGCATGTTATTGATACACCATCACAGAATCAGATCTGATCACCACATTGTCTGATCCCCCATGCGATCCAGCCGGCAGTGCACCACCAAGCGCAAAAGCCACCTGCAAAATGAGCTGCGGCTTCAAAAAATTCAAGCCACTAAACCAAGCCAAGGATCAGAGACACTTGCAGTCACTGGTCAAGCAAAGGCGTGGTGGGTGGGAAGGAATGCTTGTCTGGCCCTAAATACAGCCGCAAACCAGACTTCAATGATAGTGTGGACAAAGACTCGACCAGGTTTCCAAAAGGATTTTAACTGGAGCTCCATACTCATGCCACCCCACAGTCTATCGTCAGTTGAGGCCCATCCTTGGTGTCCCAGATGGAAACAGGTGGGAAGGAAGCAACCCAAGACCCACGCTCCCTCTAAGCTGTGGAGTCTTGTGAGCAAAAACTCCACTTTGTGAGCTACTGGTATTAAAGTTGCGAGCTGGCGATTTGGCTGCTGCATCAATTAGTTTGCCCCAGAGCCATCCTTCCTGAGCTGAGACAAAAATGTATGAGCCGGAGGCAAAAAAAAAAAGTGAGCTATCTCACACTAACTCAGCTTAGAGGGAACACTGCGGCCAAGACCACGGCGAGGGGGGGGGCAGCACACACTCTGACTGCAACAGGCCACAACTGAAGGTCCACTCGCACCAGTGCTGACCCCCAGCAGAAGCTTTAAGCAGCTGAGCCCCATGCTATTTACGTTACCAACTAGAGGCTGCCGACCCCAAAGGTGGCCGAGTACAAAGGTTAGCATGTCCTGGGACGAAAAACCACCCGAGAACTTTTCTTGAGCAGTGCAAACATTCACCGCAAGGGATTTCTTTTACCTTCATAGTTGATACAGCCATTGGCATCTTCCTGCCCTGCCATTAGCTGTTCGACTTCACTTTCCGTCATCTTCTCCCCTGGGAACAAAAGCGGGATATTATGCTGTGGCTGGGCAGATTTGCTCCTGGACCATGCACAGTCAGGCATTTGGCAGGTCTGTGTCTTCATGATCCAGAGATTCTCTGAGAGCAGCAGAAATTTCTGTATGGACTGGTGGGTCAAGCAACGTCACTACTGTAATACAGGGAACGGGACTATGGGTCTTACTACTAGCATGAATTTCCTTGAGTCGCAGTGAGAAGGGCAGATCAAAGAATGTGAACAAATTACACAGTGCCTCAGCAAGGTATCGATCAAGATGGGTAGCCTTGTTAATCTGCGGCAGTAGAAAAGCGCAAGACCCCAGGAGCACCTTAAAGACTAACCGAATTTGGGGCAGGGTGTGAGTTTTCGTGAGTCACTGCTCACTTCTTCAGATTTGGCATCTGAAATCATTCCACTTTCCGATAAATATGACTGATGGACTCTCACTCTAGCTGCATCTGAAAAAGTGAGCAGTGACTCACGAGAGTTCATTCCCTGCCACAAACTTTGTTAGTCTTTAAGGTGCTCCTGGACTCTTGCTCTTTTCTACTGAGCAAGGGCATATGTGGGGACTGCTTGACAAAAGTTGGCTGGGGCCTCCCAAGTTGGCTGGGGCCTCTTGTTCCCTGCACACCTGGTTCCGTGTTTGAAGAAGAAGAAGAGATTGGATTTATACCCCGCCCTTCACTACCCGAAGGAGTCTCAGAGCAGTTTACAATCTCCTTTGCCTTCCCCTCCCCACCACAGACACCCTGTGAGGTCGGTGGGGCAGAGAGAGCTCTAAGAGAACTCCTCTTGAGAGGACAGCTCTGAGAGAACTTGTGACTGGCCCAAGGTCACACCAGCAGCTGCATCTGGAGGAGTGGGGAATCAAGCCCGGTTCTCCCAGATTACAGTCCGTGCTCTTAACCACTACACCAAAGTGGCTCTTGCATGCGAGCTGCATCTGTCAGATCTCAGGGCATGGCAGACTGACAGGAGGAATGGGATTTCATGCTATTCACTTTAGTTGCACACAGCAAGGGCTTGTGGGGCGGAGCCAATTCCAAAAGCAGGAGCTCCTTCCCCTCTGCAGAAATTGCTGGAGCACCAGGACGCGACCTTGAACAAGCCCCAGGAGGGTGAGACCTTCTAAGACAGAGAGCCCTCTTTCCCCCTTTCAGGTAAGAGAAGAAGAAGAAGGGATTGGATTTATACCCCGCCCTTCACTACCCAAAGGAGTCTCAGAGCGGCTTACAAACTCCTTTCCCTTCCCCTCCCCACAACAGACACCCTGTGAGGCAAAAGAAGAAGAGGAGGAGATTCGATTTATACCCCGCCCTTCAGTACCCGAAGGTGTCTCAGAGGGGCTTACAATCTCCTTTCCCTTCCCCTCCCCACAACAGACACCCTGTGAGGGAGGTGGGGCTGAGAGTGCTCTGACAGAAACAGCTCTTTTTCGAGAACAGCTCTGACAGAACGATGGCTTGCCCAAGGTCATCCAGCCAGGTGCAAGGGGAGGAGTGGGGAATCAGACCCAGTTCTCCCAGATTAGAGTCCGCACACTTAACCACTACAACAAACTGGAGAAGTTACTGTATGGCTCGGGGAGCACCTGTCCAATGTAAAGTGTCCAATGGTTTCCTGGAGCAGTGGTGTTTGGGGTGGGGGCATTTAATGCTCACTCTTCCTTGACCAGAGCTTGGTGCTGTCTTTTTCAGAGGATGGAAGGCAGGTTGTAAACTGAGGCAGGTGGATGGGCAACCAGCCCAGAGCACCCACTCAAATGGGGGAGGGGGAAGCAACACTCAGCTGGACTGTTTTTCCTGGAATGGGGGGGGGGTGCCCAGAATTAAACTTTGTTGGTCTCCAAGGTGCCACGGGACTCAAGCTTTGTTCTGCTGCCTCAGACCAACACGGCTAACCCGCCAGGAGCTAGAACGGACAGCGACTGCTTTAAAAGATTCGCTCCACCAGGTGGCACCAAAGGTGGGTTATGGAATCCCTAAAGCATCTTTATAAATCCAGGGCGTTCTTTAACCTTTTGGAAGAGGCAGCCTATGCATCAGTGATGGCGAACCTTTTAGAGACCGCGTGCCCAAACTGCGACCCAAAACCCACTTATTGATCGCAAAGTGCCAACACGGCAATTTAACCTGAATACTGAGGTTTTAGTTCAGAAAAAACAACTCCTACATTAACATAAGATGATCCAAACAAGGTAAGGAAAGCAATCCCAAATGCTTTCGTTGACTTAAAATTATTTGGCAGAGAATCCCACACTTTAATGACGGTCTGGGCCTGGCTGGGGAGATGGCACACGTGCCCACTGAGAGGGCTCCGAGTGCCGACTCTGGCACACGTGCCACAGGTTTGCCACCACTGCTATACATCATTTGAAACACTCTTACCCACTTTTCTCTGGATCCAGGGTGGGGGGAGTGCTAAAAAAATCAAAGCCAAAGTACAAATCCTAACAAATACCAGCGCTCTAAAACCCTACTCCCAGAGGTGTGGCACGCGGGGGGTGGTGGTTCAGCCTCCTCTCCCCCACCAGGGCTATTTTTGGGCAGGAACGCACAGGAACGGAGTTCCGGCTGGCTCCCAAGTTGGCCACGCCCAGCAGGGACTCATTAGCATAACAGGCCACACCCAACAGCAGAAACTCATTCGGATTGGCTACATTAGGGGTGTGTGGCCTAACATGCAAAGGAGTTCCTGCTACAAAAACAGCCCTGGGTGTTGACAACAAACAAGGTAAACAGAATAACAAGCAAAAGGTGGGTGTGGCTGAATGACCACACTTCTGGTAACATGGGGATGTGGCCTAATAGGCTAATGAGCTGTGCTGTCAGGGGTGTGGCCTAACATGCTAATACGTTTCTGCTGTTGGGTGTGGCCTGTTATGCTAATGAGTTCCTGTTGGGCTTTTTCTACCAAAAGAGCCCTGCATTTATCTATTATTTATTTTGTTTACTTTGATTATATCTTGCCTTTCACCCCAATGGGGACCCAAAGTGGCTTACATCCTCGTCCCCTCCTCTATTTTATCCTCACGACAACCCTGTGAGCAAGGCCCCCCTCTCAGCCGTGGAGTCTTGTGAGGAGCAAACATTCCGCTTTGTGAGCTCCCGGCATTGAAGTTGCAAGCGAGCGATTTGGTGACTGCATCAATCAGTTTGCTCTGGAGCCCTCCTTCCTGAGCGGAGACAACAATGTACGAGCTGGAGGCTAAAAAACGGTGAGCTAGCTCACAACTAATTCAGCTTGGAGGGAACGCTGCCTGCGAGGTAGGTTAGGCTGCGAGTGTGCGACTGGCCCACAGTCTCCCAGCAAGCTTCCATGGCAGACCGGAGATTCGAACCTTGAGTCTCCCAGACCCTAGTCCGAAGCTTTAACCACTACACCACGCTGGTTCTCCAGCCACACTCCTGCCCTGGAATGGCTCCAGGGAGCCACTGTTTGCCACATGGACGCCAGACTTTTTTCCCTGTCACTCTACTGCATTTTTAATCCCCACCCGACCTCTAAAGAGCTCAAGGCCGTGCGTTTCGTTCTCCTTCTGCCGTATTATCCTCACAACAACCCTGTGAGGTTGGCAAGGCTAAGGGCTGATTCACACATCACACAGTCCTCATGCCCTCCATGGAGTTGCTGGAAGGACTTTCAATCAAAGTTGTGCTGGGAGTCCTGTGCTGGGAAGTTAATTCCCAGTTGAGCGTGTGCGCTATTTGGATTGGGACTATGATACACGGGGAGAGGGGATTTAAGCCTCCCCCGTGCTGTTTGCCCAACCTGCAACCAACTTGGGAAGCTGCTATTTGCCCTGTTGTCGAAACACCTCTAGCCCATCGGTTCAGTGGCTTCCTGTGGGGTTTTGGGTCAGGAAAACTGCAAAACAGGTGGGAAATTTACCGCCCCCCCCCCCGTGCCACAGTCCCAATCCGAATTTACTCAAAACATTTAAGAGCTGCCTTCCTACCTTGTGGAACTCAAAGCAGCTTAGAATGTAAATAAAACAACAATGATTAAAATACATAAATGACAACCATTGGTCACACACATGCACATTAATGAGGTTAACCTACTTAATTTTTAGGCAGGGCTTTTTGGGTAGAAAAAGCCCAGCAGGAACTCATTAGCACAATAGGCCACACCCAACAGCAGAAACTCATTAGCATATTAGGCCACACCCCCCATAGCACAGCTCATTAGCCTATTAGGCCACACCCCAAGCCTTCCTTTGGCTTGCCCGGGTGCCCTGCGGCTGTGGGGAGCCCAGGCAAGCCCCCCATTGAAGGGAAGGCAGTTTAACTGCCTTCCCCTTGGCTTGCCCGGGTGCCCCGCGGCTGTGGGGAGCCCGGGCAAGCCGGCCCTTGGACAGGCTGGGGAAGGCACGGGGAGGCCTGGCTCGCCCGCCTCGGAGTCTTTGGGGGGGGGGGCGCTCTCCAGGCCTTCCCTCTGTAGCCAGGCACACAGAGGTTTTGGCTGTAGTGCGCATGGCCAACTGTGAAGCCACTCGGAACTCCGTTCCTGTGCGTTCCTGCCCCAAAACTGCCCAGTTTTTAGGTCTTCAAAATGTTTCTATGCATTCCTTCAAGTTAGGATCCCCAAGGCCGCGAACATGAAAACGTTTCACATATTAAAAACAGCATTTAAAGTGTTTAAAAAAATTAAAACACAAACAAATGCACAAACAGAGAGGAGGGCTAATAAGAGTTAGTGAGGGGATGCCAGACACAACAAAAAAAGTCTTCACCACTGGCAGAGGAAAATGATACAGGGACACAGACAAATCTCCCCAAGGAGGGGCTTCCAGAGTTTCGGCGCCACGAATAAGGCGGCCCCTTCTCAGACTGCTACCCACCTACACCCAGATGGCCGGGGCATCAGAAAAAGACCCCCCAAAGATGGCTGGAGTGGTCGGGTAGGTTCATATGGAAGCCTACAACCCACTCCAGTCAGTATTTTGGCCACAGCATTCACAGTTTGGTGCAGTGGTTAGGAGCGAGGACTCTAATCTGGGAGAACCAGGTTTGATTCCCTACGCCTCCACTCGCAGCTGCTGGTGTGACCTTGGGTCAGTCACAAGTTCTGTCAGAGCTGTTCTGTCATGATCAATTCTCGAAAGAGCTCTCTCAGCCCCACCTACCTCACAGGGAGTCTGTTGTGGGGAGGAGAAGGGAAAGGGATTGTAAGCTGCTCTGAGATGCCTTCAGGTAGTGAAGGGGGGGTATAAATCCAATCTCTTCTTCTTCTCCCCCCCCCCACCCGTGGAACTTCCAGAGAGTCTTCAAGGGCAGTCCCATGTACAGCACACTGCAGTAATCTAATCTAGACGTTACCGGGGCATGCACCACACCAGGTTTTCTCTGCCCAGCCAGGCTTGCTGCTGGCTCACCAGCCAAAAGCTGGTGAAAGGCACCCCTGGCCTTTTATCCAACAAGATGCCCGGGTCCAGAAGCACCTTCAAGCTACAAACCTGCTCCTTTAGAGGGAGTGAGACCCTCCATACGGAGCAAGAGAGATCCCACTGCTTGGGCTAGGCCTTCCTCCCAACCAGTAGCACCTCCATTTTGTCCAGATTAAGTTTCAGTTTGTTAACCACCCTCCTCCGCCGCAAAATTGTCTCCAGACATGCTTCCACAGTTTCCACAGCCTCCCTGGGATCTGCTGAAAGCACCAAGAATGGCACTATCTGGTTGAACATCCACGAGGACTTTGCAACAAGCCAATTAGCCCTGCAGGAGTGCGATCGGCCCAAGATCGCCCAATGAGCTTCAAGGCAGAGAGCCAGACTTAAAGACAGGTCTCCTAAGGTCCTAGTGCAACCACTCTTCCAAAATGGATTCTGGAAAAGTCATGGAAGAAGTGCTGTGTGTGTACCCCGTCCCCTCCATCACCCATGGCTGTGTTTGCATCTTTCTCAGGGGTCATTTCGTAGAAAAAGAGGTGCAGGAGCTCATTAGCATAACTCATTTGCATATACCACACCCCCTGACATCACCGGAAGTGTGTCAGAAGGCAACACCCACCACTCAGGCTCCACTGGACTGTTTTGGATTGCTACCTATTGGGGCGGGGAATGTGCAGATCTCACAGAGGAGAGAGAGCTTGTACCTGAATAAAACTTGGTCTTAAAGGTGCCACTGGACTGTTTTGGGCCGGGGGGCCGGGGGGAGCTTTGCAACTTACCTAGCTGCTTCTTGCTCTGACTGAGGGATGCTGGGAGCAGGGGGTGGGGCTTGTTGCATGTGCCCGCCCCCAGGCTCTTTATTGCCGGAGCTCCGCTCCTGTGCGCTCCTGCAGGAAATGACCCCTGATCTTTCTCCTACCTAGAGTAGCAAGCACGTGGCGCAGTTCAGCCCCCATGACGGTGCCGTTCCCTTCCTTGTCGAAGACACGCAGCCCTTCCACAAAGTCCTCGAAAGTCCCCTGGTCCTTGGCTCGCGCAATGTGCTGCAGCATCGGGAGGAAAGTCTCAAAGTCCAGCATCTTCACGTTCATTTCTGAAAGGAAGCACAGGACAACAGCGGACTGACTCCCACTGTGCCACTACCAAAGGGCCAGCTTGATTTAGATTACATTACAGAACACTCTTCTCATCCATTTAGACCGGGGGTCCCCAACGTGGTGCCCGTGGGCACTGTGGTGCCCGCCAATGATTTATCGGATGCCCGCCAATAGTGGGTGGGACCAGGAGGGGTCCTTGCCCAGCTGGCTTCTGATTGGCTGTGCTGTGGTGACAACGTTTGCTTTTTTAAAGTCAGCCCTTTTCTTCACGGCACTTGATTTCCTCTGGGTGTGAGGGTGGCTCCACCTCCCACAACAGCCATTTTGTGACTGGCTCCACCTCCCGCAACAGCCATTTTGTGACTGGCTCCACCTCCCGCAACAGCCATTTTGTGACTGGCTCCACCTCCCGCAACGGCCATTTTGTGACTGACTCCACCTTCCGCAACAGCCATTTTGTGACTGGCTCCACCTCCCGCCCAGGCCTCTGTCCATCCCTGGCCAACGCAAAGTGCGCCCCCCGGTCCATCTGGCTGAGCACCACTTGCCTTCTGGTTTTGGTTTCCCCAGCACCCTCAGGACCTCCGCGTTGGTGGGGTTCTGCCCGAGGGCTCGCATGACGTCCCCGCACTGGCTGTACGTGATCTTCATCTCTCCAGTCGGGGTCCTGTCGAAGAGCATGAAGGCCTCCTTGAATTCTGTGCAGAGGGAAGCGCAGAGTTAGCTGTTATGTACTTGCTTACGCATTATGCTATGTAACCTACACCGGAGCTTCATGCGCAAGCTCCATTGACTCTCAGGCAGGGGTCATTTCGTAGAAGAAGAGGTGCAGGAGCTCATTAGCATAATTCATTAGCATAACTTATTTGCATATGCTACACCCCCTGACATCACCGGAAGTGTGTCAGAAGGCAACACCCACCGCTCAGGCTCCACTGGACTGTTTTGGATTGCTAGCTACTGGGTGGGGGCATGCAGATCTGTCCTCACAGAGGAGGGAGAGCTTGTACCTGAATAAAACTTGGTCTTAAAGGTGCCACTGGACTGTTTTGGGCCGGGGGGGGCCTCTGCAACTTACCTGGCTGCTTCTTGCTCTGACTGAGGGCTGCTGGGAGCAGGGGGTGGGGCTTGTTGCATGTGCCCGCCCCCTGGGCTCTTTACCGCCGGAACTCCGCTCCTGTGCGCTCCTGCAGGAAATGACCCCTGCTCTCAGGTATTCTAAACCCTGCAGTTGGATTGGTCGCTGTTGCGAAACAGACCAATCCGGGAAGACTCTGAACTTTGGTGGGAACGAATCCCATTGGTTGTAAACTCTCGATTGTAATTGGTCATTACTGTGCTAGCGGTAGGGTTGCCAGCCTCCAGGCTATATTTGCATATAACTCTTCCAGAGCCTTCCAGAGTCTCTGACCCTGCAATCCTCTCCGCCACTGAGTGACTCCAACTCCCTTTCCAACTCCTCTCAGGGTTGAATGGCGTGGGTGTGTTTGACAGGGTGGGCTGAGGATCCCTGGACCCAATCCACTTTCTCTACAGTCAGACAGCAGCTGCAAGGAAAGGCATTTCTGAAGTCCAAAGGAGCCCAATTCTTCTTGGAACTGCAGCACTAAGACCTTCTCTAAACGGCCCCCAAGAACTAGTTGCATAACGTTGGAGCTCCGTGTGGAATATGGAGCTCCAGAGTTATATGCAAATAGGGCTGCCGGCCTCCTGGGGGTGGCTGGAGATCTCCTGCTCTTACAACTGATCTCCAGGCAACAGAGATCGATCCACCTGGTGAAAACGGCCGCTTTGAAAGGTGGATTGTAGGGCATTGAAGCCCCTCCCCTTCCCAAACCCCGCCCTCTCAGGCTTCACCCCCCAAATCTCCAAGTATTTCCCAACCTTATAGGCAAATAACTTCCTGCTGGGGCAGTTTTGGCTTGGGGAAAACCACGGAGGGGCAGGCAGGAGCCTCTCTTCATTCTGCAGTTCTGAGCAGGATGGGGCTCCTGTGGACTTTCCCTCCGTGTGACTGCAGGGAAAGCATGGTGGGCCTGGGGAACCCCAACCCGACTTGCCGAAAAATGGAACGCGTCGTTTGGCCCTCCGAGACCTTGCAAAAAGAGGCAGGAGCCACAGCAGTCTTGCGCATTATGTACGTGCATCAGCAACTGGCCCTTCCAAAAAGCATTAGAGAGCCAGTTTGGTGTGGTGGTTAAGTGCGCGGACTCTAATTTGGGA